TTTCTCATTGAAGCCATCGTCTATCGGTACATCATGGAGCTACAGTTCGAATGAGATTGTAGCTGCTGCAATGGTTGCTGCTCATGTTTCCGAGCTGTTTGGAAGATCAAAGGCTTGCATGAATGCTCTGTCTGTCCTAAGGAGATGCAAGTGGGATACTGAGATTTCCACAAGGGCATCTTCACTTTATCACCTTATTGATATACATGGTAAAAATGTTGCCTCCATAGTTCACAAGGCTGAACCTCTTGAAGCGCACTTGGTACGTTCACCGGCATGGAAGGATGACATAGCTTGTTCTAGTGATAGGAACAGCAGTAACAACTTTGATGGACAGGATAATGCCAACTCAGAGTCTACCAGTAGTTCATCAGCAATGCTCTTAAAGCCTGAAAAGCCTAGTTTAGTAAATCATATTATGGCAGAGGCATCATCAAAAAGTATTGCAAATTTGCCAGTTGACGCTCCTGCTTTGGCAACTTTTCTAACCATGGATAGAAATGTTGGCTACAATTGGGGTGCACAAGCTCTTCTAAGAAATGTATTTGCAGAGAAACAAGAATTATGTATCTCTGTTGTTTCATTATTGTGGCACAAGCTAATTGCAGCCCCTGAAACGAAAGTGAGTGCAGAAAGTACATCTGCTCAACAGGGTTGGAGACAGGTAAAGAATTCTTCGATTAGGTGATGTTTATTTTCAGTTATTGTTCTTTTGGCTACCCTGTGAACATCTATCACTAGACTAATACTAAAAGTTTGCTTAATGTGCTTTAAGGAAAATCTTGATTTTTTTTTTTTAATGTCATATCATTTTCATTTCTTAGACCATCTCAATTTAAGGTCCTACCACTGTGATCAAGGAACAAGCCAACAGTCACAAAATCTGTCATCGCATGGCTATATTATTCCTTTTTTTTCTTTAATCTTGGTGGCATTGTCATTTTTCGAACTAAAAGTTGTATTAAGGTAAATGATGCAATAATAACTGACAAACTGCCTGATTAAATATAAATTAAAGCAGTGATTTAAAAAGGCGCTCGCCTAGGCGCTCGGGCGAGGCGAGGCGAGACCCGAGCACCTCGCTTCACTTCGAGGCGGCGCGCTTCAAAGAGGCGCCGCCTGGGCGCTCGCCTGAGCCCAGGCGCTGGACGCTTCGGGCGAGCGCCTGGGTTAAACCAGGCGACTGAACCAGGATTTTAGGTCTGGTTCGGTCTTCGATGGTTAGTTGGTTCGATTGAACCAACTAAAATCGATATCAGCTGTCGCTGCCCAACCCTAACCCTGCTCGTTGCCGCTGCCGCTCCCGCTCCCGTTGCTCGTCGGTGCTCACAACCGCCGCCGCTGTCGCCGCTCCTGCTCCCGCTGCCGTTGCTCACCGCTGCCTCCTTACACTCCCGCTCCCGCTCCCGCTGCCACTTCCTCTTAACAGTATCTTAGATTTTCTTAATTTAATAACATATTTTTATTTAAAATTTTAAATAATTATATTATATATTTTTATATTTTAGCGCCTCGTTTCGCTCGAGCGAGCGCCTAGCGCCTCAGGCATTTTTGGACCTTAGCGTCTTTTGGCGCTTAACGCTTTTTAAATCACTGAATTAAAGAACCCAATTCATGATTCATAGTTTATTTCTTGTTCCAATAGCACAGATCCAAACTAGGACACTTTCATTCCTTATATTCCAGTAGCAGGGGTCCACACCAAGATAGCCTTTGATCACCATTGTACCCTATATCCTCGGAAGTCTTCCTGTCAGCACAAAAATGATAGGTCAATGGAACCCAAAGTGCTCCAACCTAATCAAATGGTTAGTTCCTCGTTTTTACAAATTTATCCTGACTTATTTTGATAATCTTATCAATTCAAGTTGCTCAAAGTCACCAAACTCCCATCACATAAAGGACTTTGAACAAGCAAGATTCTTGACTTGCCATTGTCTTAAATGCTTTAGTAGAATTAGCAGCAACACAAGCAAGTGTTGGTACGTGTTCACTATTATTTTAGTTCCAACCCCAATTATTTCTTTGAGAATTTTGGTAATAATGTGTTTTGCAGATACTTCTGATTATCATGGTTTTCTTTTCTTAAAATTTAATGATAATGGTTGCAAACTTCAAAAAAATTGTGGCAGCTGTTTTCTCTGCCTCTTTTTCTTGGTACTGCTCATAAAAAGGAGAAACAATTAACCAAGAAATTGTGGAACTTAATTATAGTAATAATATCTTGAATATGGTTCTTTTTCTTGGTACTGCTCATAATGCTTTAGACTGACCAACTTTTCCCTAAAATACCAGGTGGTTGATGCAATCTGCAATGTTGTTTCAGCTTCACCAACAAAAGCAGTAACAGCTATTGTCTTACAGGTCCAAACCATAGTTACTTTAGATGCTTTTCTCTATTATTAAATTGCATCAATATTAGTATGTTTTCCAGTATTTACCATTTTCTTAAGTCACTTCTGTGGAACTTCTTGTTACAGGCAGAAAAGGATTTGCAGCCCTGGATCGCAAGAGATGATGAGCAGGGACAGAAGAAGTGGAGAATCAACCAGAGAATTATAAAATTGATCGTAGAACTTATGAGAAATCATGACAGCCCAGAGGCACTGATGATCCTTGCAGGTGCTTCAGATATTCTGCTCCGTGCTACGGATGGAATGCTCGTTGATGGTGAAGCATGTACGTTGCCACAGTTGGAGGTAACATCAGAAACTCAATTAGAATTTTACAGAGCATAACCAGTTTGGATGAATTTTCTTACTTTTTGATTATTTTCGCAATGTGGTATTTGTCATTATGAGAGCAGTTTCTTGTTCTGATATTCTGTTTCCTGTCTGTACAAACATGAGCAGCTCTTGGAAGTAACAGCAAGAGCAGTTCGACTTGTGATCCAATGGGGTGAATCAGGCCTGGCTGTCGCAGATGACCTCTCGAATCTGCTGAAGGTAACTCTTCTTCTGACTCGATCTCCTCAACAACAGTCAGCGACAAAGTGCTAAATACTAAGTGCAAAAAATACGGTAATGCAGTGTCGCTTACCAGCCGCGGTCCAGTGTCTTTCCCATCCAAGTGCACACGTACGTGCTCTCAGCATAGCGGTACTCCGCAATATCATCCAGAACAGCATGAGCAACGGCAGTGGTCGTATTCAAGGGGATGCACCGGGCCTCTCTGATCCATCTTACCAATGCTTGAATCTGGGAATCATAAACTGGCATTCAGACGTTGAGAAGTGCTTGAAGTGGGAGGCTCGTAGCAGGCTTGCAACTGGTTTGACACTTGCTTTCCTCAGTGCTGCTGCCAAAGAATTGGGCTGCCCCATCTCCTGTTGAGCATATCTTTGGCGTTGGCGGCACTTGTTAATGTATATGTAATGCCCTGTTAGTGTTCAGTATGATAGTCGCTAATCAAGTCTCTGTTTTGTCACTATATTTGGTGTATCGTTGTCTGAATTCTGAAGAATGTCAGTGGACCGAACACTTTCTCATTGATGAAATGAAGTACGCATCGTCAGCAAAAGAGATCACGAGGAGGTAGCAGCCGTGTCTCTGCAGTATGCATGGTCGGCAAAAGAGATCACGAGCTTTTCCACTCCATACGCGTCTAGTATACATCATCATCTTTCAATGGCCACGGAAAGGAGTAACTAAAACAAAACAGGCAGCGGTTGCGGTTGCATCCCTCAAAACGTCGGCGTGTGATCATCTCCGCTCGTCTGCATCTCAGTCGTGGATGAATCACTGCCGTCACCTGCCCCGCATGCTCTCCGATACCCAACATACTATGCTCGTTACAACAGAGGGTCACCCGTCACGGAAACATGGACAAACCCAGAAGAACGAGGTCACCGTCGAAGCCCTTCTCGGAAGGTATTCCAGAAACACCGCAAGGAAGGCATCTGAAGGTAACCTCGAAAGAAGACGGGCAAAGGTGGGGTTCTCTGAGGGCCGTTATTTCATCTCTGACGCCGATGCTGTCTGTTTCGATTTCAACGAGAGCCAACCACGGGTCGTGCGATCCCAGACCCACAGGGTACAGAATCAACGAGGCCCGAAAGATCTAATCCATCGTCGTCGTCTTGGACTCTTTTACCTCCTCCAGCACCTCACTTGATCCCCAGATGACATAATAAAGCTTCTTCACCTCCTCCTACCCACTCACCACACTTAATTTTATGCCAGAAAAATAAATTAATGCGCTGTTTAAACGAATGGGTAAAACTCCTAATTAAAGTTGAATCCGGACAAATTATTTACACAGAGAAAAAAAAATTAAAAATTCAAGTTTCCTCTACAGATACGTAACTTCCAAACAGCATCTGCGACTGCAAGCGAGGTACATGGCTTTCTTTGGAGAAATGGATAACTATTTTTCATTTGCCACTTCCACCACATAAACCTCAGATATAAAATGCTATGGTGGTTGCCACTGAGATACTATCAAGAAAAGCCACAGAGTAGGATCAACATATAACTAAGGATGTATCAAACACCACGTGGTTGCAACTGAGATATCATCATGAAAGCCATCGGGGCTGTCGTTGCACGTGCAAGTGATTTTGTGACACGATACCTGCGGCTCTATCGGTGCAAATTGAAAACCCCTTGACAAAGTCATAAGTCCGCTCTATCCGAATGCATGTCCATGGACGAATCACTGCAAGTGCGAGAGTCCTGGCTTTGGTCAAGGTGGTTCGATCCATGGTTCCTGATTGTATTTTCTTGTGGCAGGGCAGTATCATGGCTTGCACCACCGTCGCCTCCGCCTTGAGCCGGGTGATAAGACTCCAGACTTCTACGAACCGGACTGGATAAAGCATTTGAGAAGACAGTGTCCTTTGTTTCCTCACGGTGACCCGTCCTGGCGAGGCAAACTGCTGCAGTTCCAATCGTACTGGAGTCATGGATGTTTGTGCTTCCAAACTGCATCGAGGACTGAGGATATTGGTGCGGCAACTGGGGAATTGGGGACATCGCCGTATCCTCACCGCCATGGCCAATCTCATTCTGCAGGGTCAAAACATTAACAACACAAAAACTGGTTATAACAACTCTGTTATAATGCACAACACACTTGTCATTACCAAGAGGATAAACAACAATAACAACAACATGCTGTCATGTCCCAACAATTTGAGATGCACAAAATGGATCTTCTTAGTTCTTACTTCATTGGCCTCATTATATATCATTCGACAAGAAGCATTCATATCTCTGTTGATTATTATCACTAATAAAATCTTGGGTCTCTCTCTCTCTCTCTCTCTCTCTCTCTCTCTCTCTCTCTCTCTCTCTATATATATATATATATATATATATATATATATATATATAGTGTGTGTGTGTGTGTGTGCCTTTTCGTACAACTACTCGAAATATTGACTGGACTCAACTTGTTTGACCACAATATCTATAGGTCCACTAGAAACGTTCATATTACCTTTAGACCACTCTTTTCCATTTTATCTTCTATTGGGGCTACCTAAACAATCATGGATGAAGACATTTTTCAGACTATCTTTCCCAATAATTCGACTCATTTACATCAATAATATCATCTTAGCTATACTAATTTTTTTGTGTGTATGTTATGTTTTTAATGTCTAGCACTCGGATTCACAAAATCTTACAAGCCTAACCATTATCTTACAATGTTTTTAATCTAAAGGGTACTTGATACCCACATAAAACCTTTGATATCATCTAAACTTTAACCTCACAGCTTTTGCTTGATCAACAATATTTTTATCAATCTACCGGTCCTATTAATAGAACCAAACCAAAAATACTTAAAACACATGGGATTACTAGTGATGCATAAGAGAAGTTGAGACTGAGCATCTCTTTTGCCATAGTACAAAATGGAAAAGCATAATTAACATCTATCTCTAAGTATAAAAAGGTTTGCACTATGCAATAAATGAATAAAATGGCATGTGAAAAATGAGCATCAATTCTTTTTCTTCACATGACAAGCATTGAAACAAGAGTCTATTAGTCACAACAAGGTAGGCATAATCTATGCAGACTCATAACATACATCACTATTAAACAATCCAACAACTAAGAGCAGGGCAATCTTGACCCAGCAAGACAGGAGATCAAAATGTCCAGCAGATGTAGCTTATAATGCTTTCAGCTAGTCTATAAATGAATAAATTTATTAAAAGCCAAATGAATGCAAATTTATGCCAAATGCTTCTTATATCATTAATATAAGCATATATTGTATCTTCAACATGTAATTCATGCATCCTCTTGTAAGCTATGCCATAATGTAGGAGGCCTGATGATCTACTAAGCCCACACATCATCCCAGGATATGGAAAATAATTGGCTTATAAATTTACAGACTGATGATTCTGTAAGCATGAAGAGCATTAAAAAGAAGCCCTAGTCAGCATTAAGTACTTTTTTACAACTTCAAACTCATCATAAGCATTGTTGCTGCAAACTAAGGGTGTAAAAGACATTATGTGGACCCAAGTCAAAAGATCAGAAAAATCTATGAATATTCCAGACTTGTTTGTGAGACAATATTTGGGGCAACTAATGATATGAATATATGTTTCAAATGGATATTGGAAAACAAAGATAATCGAGGCAGCTTCCCATATGCAAATAACATTATAATAACAATCAAATGGATATTGGAAAACGAAGATAATTGTGGCAGCTTCCCATATGCAAGTAACATCATAATATCAATCAAATGGATATTGGAAAACGAAGATAATTGAGGCAGCTTCCCATATGCAAGTAACAACATCATAATAACAATCTGACACTACAAACAAACAACACCTGCAGATACGCAAGTATATCAGCTACGGTCACCCTTGACCCTTCATCATGTCTTAGAATCAACTGGTAGAGCTTCTCCTGCACCAAAAAAATTTATATATATATTAATAGTCTAACATTTTTTTTACGCTCGAGAAATTACGAAAACAAGCAACAGAAACAATTTTACATGATTGTTTTTTTATCAGTGACATATGAAAATTAGTTAATACATAACGACACCTTCCAGTGCAAGCCAGGCAGTTATAGACCAAAGGAAGCAGAGAGCAGTGGAGGTGGCTATTAAACATGGATGCCAAATCCCAAAAAGCCGAACCATTAGTAGCAAATCTGAACATAAATGACGACGATATTAAGTATCTCAATTTTTATTTTTAATAAAACAAAAGAGTGCACTCTCTGTGATTACACTTTTGTTATCATTAAATTCTGAAGTTAACATTTCAATATTCTACTGAAAGCCAAATAGCCCTCAATCTTTCATCACTATCATGAAAATCCCAATAATCCCTGGCCGAACCATACCGATCCGAGAACATTTGACGGAAGCAAAAAAGTTCCGGGAAAGAAAACGATAGAGAAGGAATACCAAAGCGTGGCGCTCTCCGGTTTGGAAGGCGAGCTCCTGCTGCGTCATGGCCTGCGTGTAGATGAGGGAGAGAGAGTTGGCGGCGCCACGGAAGACGGAGTAGATCGTCCGATCCGCCTCATCGAGATGCGTATCCTCGGATTTCCTCTTCTTCCCCATCGTCGTCAACTCGATTCGATCCTCCTCTCAGTTTCAAACCCTAGAGGATAAACTGAAGGCAACAAAACAAGACGAAGAACAAGGCTAGACTCCTTCAATTGCCACCGAATCGTTTTTCCGGAGACGCCATAATCAATATTATATATATATATATATATATATATATATATATATATATATATATATATATATATATATATATATATATATATATATATATAACACTTGGAAGCCCAATCGGAAGGGTCCAAGTACGCCTGTCTCGAGTGAGTCAGCCGTGATGTATGACGCCTATCATCGCGCTCGAGCCACGTCTCCGTTAATGGGCCCGCGGTATAAATTCATGGCACGATTGCCTCTGCATGATTGGTGGTTCGGTCGAGACATCACATCCGCAGCCGATTCGTGGATAAAGCTGTGAGCTTTAATTTTGGGTGATGCACGGATGCTCTCCAAGACTGAGGTAACTGGAATCGTCCAATTCTCGAATCATAGCCGTCCGCCGATGCGGACCCCACCAAAAAACCGAGCGACGGGATGGTTTGGTTGGAGAGGGGAGTCTGATTGATGCCATCCTCGTGTCGGCCTGCGGTCATATTGGCGTAGGAATATTGGCTCCTCACCTCCTTTACCCATCGCCTTAACACCCACACACACATCACAAATGGAATGTCTGCTACAAGTAATCAATTTGCAGAAGTTTCATCGTAGTAGTATGCACACATTGCAATTGATTCGACTCCTAAACCTTTGCTAGTAGACTTAAAGATTATGTTGTTGCCATTGCATAAGTTTCACATGAAAGCCGAATCGAATTCAACTTTAATGATCGATCACAAGAGACGAGCCAATCGATCATATCAAACCGACGTGTCTTCCATATGGATCTGACACATGGGCTAGGTGAAGTTGGCTCGTTGACTATATGCTCTTGACATGTCAACTAGATGAAGCCTACACATCAACTACATTGAGCAATTGTGTCCAGTAGGAGCCAACACATCGACGCGTGGGATTGATATGCTGCCATGCCATTTCTACCGAATCAGATTTATTCTCGATCCTCTTACACTCCCCCACATTTATTAGTATCCTATTATGTATCATGCATGGTTTGCATGATTATCTTGATTTACTGATTTATTAACTTTGGTCATCGCCTTCTTTTGTCTCATTGCAAAATTTATTTCATCAACTAATATAAGAAACGCTCCAATCAATTATTACTCTTCTTTAAATAGAAAAAATATTCTTGGTCAATTCTAAGAGTGGGCAAACACATGATAGTTTAGTTGGGTATAAAAAGTAAGTCGTTAGGTTTGTTCATGTGGATATTTATTATAAAAAAATAATTTTGGATTGTCGTCTTATTGCCCACGTGGACATCAGTCCAACAAGGGATAATTATGGGTTGTTCCCTCGAAAAATATTTCATGGAATATTTTGTTACCCTCTTATCATATAATAAAATGTCATCTTTTTAATAGTGATTGAGATCATGCTTTTTACTATTTTCACCAATTTATCCCGTGACTAACTTGAGTGTTAAAGAGACCACTTTAAAAATCTTTTGATTTTCATCTAAAAATTAATGATTCGAGGAGGTTTAGAGATCTTTTGGAGACATCTAAAAATTAATGAATATCCAAAATAATTTCTTCCTATCAAATCAATCATTGTTATATATGAGAGAACGATTTTTTCCGTAACACATATCAATCGACCAAACTATTATAAACTCGATTCAGGATGAATGCTACTACAAAGATACTATATATTTGAACAAAACATTGACTATGCCGACATTAGCCATATGTAAAAGTATGAAAAGCGAGATCGAAGCTACTTTGCTCACATGGGGAGGATCATCGTGACCGCTTACTCATGTCAATACTATGGACTCTAAGCAAGGACAGTACTAAAATTCAAGTCATGCAAGGTTCTATTGTTTCATCTTTGTAGGTTATAGAAATGATATTATCGATGACCATCATAACGATCGTTTTCTTCTCCATCCTCATCTAATCCAAAGATTGGATTGCCCTCATCGTTATACATGCTTCTTCCTTCCCCAAGAAACGGATCCCTTAGCCTTACATATAGAGAGAGAAGAACAACACGATGACGATAAAAAATAATGGTTACAAGGATTATCGAACAAAACTATCTAATTACATCTACTGGACGATGGAATCGATCATGACGGCCAATTGCGGACGCACGATTGGCTTAAAAAAAATAAAAAAATAAAAAAAGCCTTGGGAACCATTTATTTTCCTTTTAAAGAGCTTTGTTTAGGCAGGTTGGCGATGGCGTCATTAATCGCACTCTCGCAGCCATAAAAGCCTCTCTTTTTTTTCTTTTCTTTTCCCGACCAAAATGGTTTGCGAGGAGAAACAGAACCAACCAACCAACCAACAAACGCACACATGATATGTTGCTAATCATTGCCGTCATCCAGTACTGGTCACCGAAAGCAACGGGGACCAGAACAGAAAGATCCACTCTCGCGGTGGGGCCTCCCCGGTTTCCCATCTTGCGGCGGGACCCGCTGTTTGAGAACTAATCCACCGTCCGGTGAAGATCGAAGGACTCCGAAGCCATCCGTTCCGCCATCATCCTCCTCTATCAGGGAGAGTTCGTTCTTGGAAGCGATCGGGAGAACGGCCCTTAAACCGTCGTCGGCCTCGCCTCTCGTTTCAGCCCTTGATCTCGTGCTCCCGACGCCGACATTTCCGGGTGGCCGTACCTCCCGGTTGCTCGTCGATGCGAGGAAGACCTTCCCTCGTGAATCGATCGGGAGATCCTTCGGGTCGCCGTACCTCCTGGTTGCTCGTCGATGCGAGGAAGACCTTCCCTCGTCTAATCTCGAATCAATCGGGGGATCGTTCTCCAGGTCCTCGTCTCTTTGGCTCTTCATCTTCCTTTCTTTTTCTTCGTAAACGTCGTGGACTTTTTAGGGGGGCCCTAATTTGTCGTGATAGAGTGTGGATGAGGAATTTTGCTGCACTTCGATGGGTTCCGAATCAGATTTCTATGGAACTTGGACCTCCATTTTGATTTGATATGTTATCTTTTATATGGTTTTAGTGCACGATTTAGGTATCCTGTGTTTGATTTGGGTATCCCTCGCCGTCCTTTGCTACCTTTGGTGTTTTTATTTGCGTTCGGATACTAATGTGTCACTGCATCCGATTCTTCTGAGATGGAATTACGGGAGGGCGTTGTTTGGAAATGTATCAGATGAAATAACAAGTCACTGGCATTAAACGAGAACCTGAATCATATGAGTATGCACTTCGCACTTTAAGATTTTTCGTCATGAGAAGGATAATTTTATTGTTCTTGTTGTAATTAATTCTTTCTCTAGTAGATCCCAGCTACCGCCAATAGGTTGCGTTCTATCATTAAGATCAGCATATCTAAAATCAAATTCCCAAAATAAATTCACTTGCGCATCATGAGATAGTCAGCTTAAAATCTAGAAAATTTAGCGACCATCATCAATTCTATGATTTGAAGTTACATCGGAGAATACATTCCCGGTTTGCCAGTCCATTTTGGTTTCAGATCTTCTTATATTAGTCGCTTATATTTCAGTGTCAATCATGCTCTGGCTTAAAAATCACCTATATTTCATTGTGGTTTTTTCCGATGAACATTTCCATAATGCAGGGAAGGGGCAATCCGCACGCATGTTGGGAGCCAAACAGTAATTATCATAAAGATTATGGGTTGCAGATGGAACCACCGGCAGCCCAGATGAGCGGAAGCTCCAATTATATTTTCTGCGGAAGGAGGAGGAATTTTCTTCTTCGGCTTCAGGGTATAGCAAAGGTGTCTCACTTTTAGTCCTAGCCTTGGGTGACGAATAAAAATCGATGAGAGTTTCTCCCTGGGATCAATCCCGATTGGTGGAACAAGAAGTTAATCCTGAATTCCCGCTGGCTTCCCGAAACGAGCACGTCTCCCATGGATGTTCTTCCTTTGTCTGCTTTGGCCGTGCCTCCTCGGGAGTGAATGGAACATCACCTCCCAAAGTTGGTCCGGTCCGCCATTACGAAACTCCGCTCGATTCTTCGACTACTAACAGTTGCAAGGAATCCGCAACCGAGGATGTGGTTGTTGAGGGTGACAGAAAGATATGTCTTAAGAGCAGCCTGAAGAAGCAGTTCACAGATCACTCTGCTTCAGATGCTGAAGCTGTTAGTACGAATGGTTCTTCAAGAGAACTACCAGGTAGCACATCCGGGTTTACGAAAAGGAAGCTGCAGTGGTCTGATGCATGCGGAAAGGAGCTTATCGAAATTAAGGAGTTTGAGCTCAGGTATCGTGCCATGTGAATTCCGATAAAATATTATATACTCCATCTGTCCATCGGTGAGAGAAAAGATGAACCATAATTATTGCTTTATATGGGTCATGATGATTTCCAGAACTTTGGAAATTGAGTGTTTCTTTCTTTATGAGGGCATTTCTGTCGTCTTCATTTCTCTTCCTAGATTTCATATCTATGGTTATGGAAACGTTTGAGTTTTAATTGTTAATTTGATATTGCAGTGACGATGACGTATCAGACGATGAATTCGGACACGACGGTGACAGATGCCAATGTCTTGTACAGTAGATATCATCTTCATCGCGGACGAAAGGACTCGCACTATCGGGCGATGATGACGATCTCCTGCGGGGCGTTTGTAAAATCTGCCTAGTGTTTTGTTGGCCATTCGTGGCCTCTCCGCTAGACTTGCATGCGTGTGGGACTGCTGTTGTACTAATAGGCTATTGTTGGGATCAGGGAGAAATTTGCTATGTATATTCTTTTCTTTTCTTTTCGATGAATGAATTATTTGGCATCCCTTTATTTTTTTTTTTTTTGGAGTACCGGGAAGATGTGGAGCAAAGTAGTATTTTTACCTGATTCGATTCTTCCGGATGACGTATTTGGACCATGCTCTTTCTGAGGCGCGTGCTATGAAACTGTGTGTCATGTGGGATGGTTAGGTGAGATGACATGCGATGGGAGCATTGCAAGTCTTCACATCGAAGCAGAACAGTTTTCAGTCGTAAAAATGTGACATTTTTCTTGCAGCAATATCTACAAGTTTCCACGCATTTAGAGCACACGGGAAGCTGGCCGCCGTGAGTCGAAAATGTTGACCAGCTGTGTGCTTTCTACTAACTCTCTGCTTTTATTAATGTTGACCAGTTCGAATACTTTAGGTTCATTAATGTTCGGGTCTATACCAATTACTACTATTTGGTGGGATCGAAAGGACTGTCATGCTGCGATGGCAGAATATGGCACTGCCTCACGATGACATCGCACCACATCAGACATTCGCCTTGTCATCCGCTACGACGTACGGTTTACCCGAACAAATGTGTGCTACCACCCAAACGACTATGCAGCCGGTGCCAGGAAGAAGAAGAAGAAGATGATGATGATCCTCGCCAACCAGACGCAAAAATGACGATGGGTAAGTAGACCCAAGGTAGGACTAGGAATTTGACTTGTCGACCGGTGAACTGATCCGATATCATAATAAAATGTCTGGTTTGCGTATAAGTTCAAGCAAGTCGTTCTTGAACACTTGAGATCGAGTCTCATGTTTTACTTGTCAGAGGGATACGTACATATACTATTACAACGTATGTAATTAATCTCACCGAACATCCAAGGCTTGCCGCATCTCTATAAACAGGGTCACACCCACAGACCAAACACCCTCGTCCGTCTTCCCAGCGGCTCAGCAGGACAGCACCATGGATTACCGGCTGCATGACCTCCGGAGGCAGAGATCCTGCGCGTGTCCACCTCTCCACTTCGGAAGCTGGTGCAACAGCCGGTGTGGGACTGCCGACTTCAACCGGACGTTCGCGGATGACTATAACGATGAGCTCGATCCACTCAATTACCGGCCAGCCCGGTCGAGATTGCGCGGGCTGTGGAGGAGGATCGTGAGGGGGCCAAGGAGGATCTTTATAAGCTCCGGAAATCCGATGCATGTCTCCTACGATCCGTATACTTATGCGCAGAATTTTGATGAAGGATCTGCATCGGTCGAACCCGACAATTTATGGCGATCCTTCTCGGCGAGGTTTGCCGCCCCATCGAGGACGACGCGAAGAGTGGGATGATTTCCACACCATTCTCCTGTGGCGCTGTCGTACCGACAAGCAACTACCGTTCGTTTCTTGAATGCAGTCTGCCCTGTGTGTGTGTGTATCTCTCTATCTCTAACCCCTCCGTCCCGAGCATCGAGCAACCTAATTAAGGTTAATGACATTGCGGATGTGTTGGGTTCTTAATCATGAAGTTGTTTTCTGTTCTCTTTCCGCTTGTTTTATGTTTTCCGGTGGTCGAAGCTGTCTGTCTACTTTCTCCGTGGATGAGCTGGTTTTTGTTCTTCTGACTCCTCGGTTTTCATTTGAACAGCATGCCACTTTTGACCTACGTTGCTCATTAATAATAATAATAATAATAATCGATAGAGACAGACCTAACTGCTGATTTCATCTTCACCAAACCAAGTGAGGATTCGGGGGAAAGATCTACTCTATGTCCATTCGAGTTCCCACCCCCCCCGGTCACCTGTGAGTTCAGACTAGGCAAGACAAAGAAAACGACGAAGGCAGAGGCTATTGGTTGGTCCAGCAGCATACCATTCTTCTTCGCCGGAAAGGCCTCTTCTTGGTTGGTTTCCATTCTACCAGAGTCGAGGACCCTTTCCGTCAGCAAAGCGCAAGGTATCATTCTTCTTCGCCGGAAAGGCCTCTTCTTGGTTGGTTTCCATTCTACCAGAGTCGAGGACCCTTTCCGTCAGCAAAGCGCAAGGTATCTCCCGGCCTCCTCTCGCTTTGCTTTATGCTGTCCTTACATGCTCATCACACGTACAATAAACCAAGTTGCGTGACGCGAAACCTCCGGGCCTGGTTTGGCTACCCAAACTTTGGTTCGGGGACGGGGAGAGCCAATGGACCGTGGGCCACGGGTCCTTGAAACTATCATGGCAGGCTCGATCCGGTCCACTCTTATGCAGTACTGGGCCGGAACCCTCCCAACCCGTCATCCTTCCTTGCGAGCCAGTGAAATCCCCACGCTGGGTGATAAGCCCTGCCCTTTCTCTCTCTCTCGACGCTTCTCGTCTTCACTGCGTTGATGGCGGCAGCCGAGGAATCCCCCGCCGACGATCGAATCCAGAAGTTCCTCGACGATCTGGAATCGCAGCACGCGCTTCTCTCCAACTGCACCCTCCTCTGGAAGTCCCTCGCTGAACACTTCTCCTCCCTCCGCCAAGCCCTCGCCCTCCGGTCCCAATCCCTCGACGCCCACCTCCAGGCTCTCGAATCCAACACGCAGAAGTCCCTCGACTCCCTCGCACTGCGAGATTCCTCCCTCCCCGACCGCGAGTCCGCCGCCGCCGCCGCCCTCCACGAGCGCCGTGACGCCGCCCTAGCCGAGATCCAGCGCTCCGATGCCCCCTCCGCCGACCTCCGCGGCCTCCTCCGCTGGTATGCCCGCCGCATGGACTCCCCCGGCCTGTGGCGCTTCGTGGTGTCGCGCCGCAAGGATCTCCACGCGCTCCGGAGGGAGGTCCCTGACGCTGTGGCGGCATCGTTGGACCCCGCGAGGCTGGTGGTCGACGCTTCGGAGGACTTCCTGAATCACCACGCCGACGACGGCGGCGCCGACCGAAACTGGGCGCTGGGGATGCTTCTCCGGTCGCTGCTCATCTCGGAGGGCGGTAAGGCTCCGGAGGTCGCGGAGAGCATGAGGGAGAAGGCGGCGGCGGTGGCCGAGGCGTGGAAGGAGAAGTTCAGCACAAAGGAGGAAGGGGGAGAAGGAGGAGGAGGAACCATGGGTGGTTCAGAGGCGCAAATATTTCTGCAGATGGTGGTGGCGTTTGGTCTGAGATCACGATTCGAAGAAGGCTTCCTGAAGAAGCTCGTTCTGGAGCATGCTTCCAGGAAAGACATGGCTAAACTCGCTGCTGCATTAGGGCTCGGGGAGCAATTGGCAGGTAAGGTTACTTCTTTTGCTTCTTAAGTGTTCTAAGACTAACCTAGTTGAGGAAGATTCTGTCACAGAGAATTCTATAGTTCAATGTTGTCATTGCCTTGCACCACGATTACTACTAATTTCGTAATATCATGTATCTGACAGAGATAATTTTGTGTTGTCTTTGCTTTTGATCTTCTCGATAACCGATGTCAACATGAGAAACTAATTACCATCACTAGCTACTTCGAATAGGAAATGAACATTCATATCCTCATTACTTAGATTGGAGCTCTTAATTTTCTTATGCTGAAACATGATCCAGTGTCCAATAAGTAATCTAACTAGAATTATGCACTCTGCCTAGTCATGCCTGCAAAAGTAGCAAAGGATTAGTGTTATAAATCCTAATATGATTTTGATATGTTGAACTTTCAAACATATGCTTTGGTGATACATAATCTTTCAAAAAATCTGGTGCTTTGCCCTCAAAGAATTTAATTTTCTGTTCCAGAATTGAAACTTGGGATAGACTGACCAGGGAGTAATTTTGGCACCTCTACCATCTGAAGATCGTATCTGCACTAATAAAAACAAAACAAAAGAGAAAAAAAGGAAAATATAATATGGTTGGAAGTCATAAGAGCAGAAAGAAATGATAGAGGAAAACAAGAGAAAACTATTCCGACAGAAAAAGAAAAGAAAGGGTCACAGTAAGTAAATATTAAGCAGGGGACATACCTCAAGGAAAACAGAACTTAGATTTTATCCATCTTTTCTTTATTCGGCTTTGTTCTGTCGCTAATGTTACAAGAAACTTTCAGGAGATGAAACACAAAGAAGTTGCCTTTTCAGTTAGGAATGTTTTGGCTGCATCACCCATTAGTTGCTTATTAGCCTGATTCATTTCTGTATTGCCACAAAAGTAAAAGCTTTATTCTTGCTGCATCATATTATTAGTAAGACCGAATCTGGCCTCACGTTAGCGGGCGCTTTATTCACTACGATTGTCCTTCTAATAAGGTGGCATATATTGACCTTCTTGCTATCTCGTATTAGCAGGAGCTCTGCGCCCTAGGTTATCTCTTTATTATATTTATTTGTAAAACTTTTTAAAATCATTCAAACAGGTGCACTTCCTTTTTCTCTTGTAGAAGAAAAATAAGAATTGAAGCTTTGTGTTACACATCGCAGATGTAATTGATGAGTTGGTAAAGACTGGCAAGGAGATCGAGGCTGTATATTTTGTTCACGAATCTGGCTTGACTGAGCGTTTCCCCCCTGATTCTCTCCTCAAGTTCTATCTCCAAGCCTCTAGGAAAAAAGCCAATTCCATATCGAAAAATGGGAACAATTCAATCGCTGCAAAGGTATATTATCTAAAGAAGTTATTTTGTTCCATGAATTGCTCGTTTAGATTTTTGTTCTCGTTGATGGTACAAGGTTAATCACGTGCCCTTAGTAAACAAAATGTATTTTTTATTCAGGAAGAGTCCAGCAATATGGAGATTAATGCTCTTAAATCCATCATCAAGTGTGTTGAGACTTGCAAACTTGGGTCAAAGTTCAATGTTGATGGTCTGAAGAAAAGGCTTGCAGAGATGGAAAAGATCAAGGCAGAAAGAAAGAGAAGCGCAGTCGCCAACAGACCCCAGGGCAAGAGATTAAGAGCAGCAGCTGGAGCAACCCCAATTCTGCGTCCTGCCAAAGCAGCTAGGGGCCCGAACAAACCTTATGCGCCATACGGTCAGAACCCACCAGCTGTGTCTCATATTCCAGCAACTCGCCATGTTTACAGTTATCCTGGTCAGGGTGGGTTTGATGGCCTTGCTTCTGCACAATACGGTGCTCCTCGTAGCCAGAGTCCTGCCACCGTGCCCCAGCAGTATTATGCTCATGATGATATGGGTGCACTACGAGCAGGAATGCATCACGGCGGTCCTTCCATTACTTATGGTGGATACGACTACACTGCACCTGCTCCGACACAGCAATCACGCCCACATTAGTGTTTGAGGAATTTTCTTTGTTAAGTGGCTCCAATGCATCGACGAGTCTGGTCTGACGTTTTGCTCTCAGCTCTATGTTTCCATGTCAGCTTGTTATCATAAGTTTACAGGAGATATTCGTGGTGGTATAATTTGTGACTGCTTTGGTGCAAGTTAACCATCATAATACTTGTCTAGGGGAGCCTAATTAACGCAGCTGGGATGCATAGATCGACTTTTGTTATGGTTGAGATCATAAGCTGCACTTGCTTGAACCATTGCCCATGTAACAGGTTTATCATGGAAGGCAGGTCAGTTACCTTCTGGATCTAGTTGTTCTAGGTTTTTGTGGAAGTAGAACATGAATTTTGCAATCTCCCTTGGTTTTATAAACTTATATTGGTGGTTAATGCATATGGCTTTGTCATGTCAAGAAATGATGCGTGGTAGAGAAAATGATATTTTTATGTAATTAACTAAGGATGTTCTATGAAATTTTTTTGAACTACGTTATTGGTTTTTTTTCGTAAATTTATTTTTTTAATATCATTTTAATATGGTTAATCAATCAGAGGTGTTATCATCCAAGAAACTTGAAACCGCATCACACTGTTTCTGTTACTGTTTCTGCGATCATAGTGGTCGATAGAAAGGGACGGTGAGTGAGAGACACCATCACGGTCCTTCCTTTGCTGCGTGAAACGCCGACGAGAATTGCGTCTACCGAGGGAGACCACCGACGGCGACCGTCTGTAAGATCAGAGCAATTGTTGGGCGTGGCGTTCTGGGGAATACTGCCAACGTAAGGGGCACTTGTATCCGTTCGAAGGGGTATCGGTGTCTTCTGGTGTTATTTGGGGAGGCCACTCCGCCTCGACAAAATCCGAAGAGATAACCGAAACCAAAATCCCCGCATAAAGAAGGGGGACGGAGGACCGGCTCCAGCCTACGGTCCGGTCGGAATCGGATTAACCTCGGTCCAAAGGCAGGGAAAGCCAGAACGATGGGGCTTCTCGTGGGAAGCCCCAGCTTCTTGCGGACTCCCCACTCCTCCTTTCCCTTCTCCAACCCTTTGTCATCTTCAGTGCGCTCTTCGCAGAGGAAAGCTGCGAGAACGCGATCACCGCTGGCTACGTGTTGTGCAAATGGGGAGAGCCATGTAGGTGCCGTAGTTACTCCTCCTAGAAGGGCTCTTCTCCTTGCGGGCATCTCAGCTCTTCCCTTCTTGACACTTGGAGCAATGGCTGCCGACGTTGTGGTTGTCCAAGGTCAGTGGTTCCCACTTATGGTAACCTTGGCTTATCATTTCTTGCCTTCTTGGATTGCTTTTTGTTGTCATTTCTTGCCTTCTTGGATTGATTCTTGTTATCATTTCTTGCCTTATTTGTCAAATTGCTTGCGTTGGGACTAATTAGGTCAGTCAATTTAGTTGTTAATGTTCACGAAAGATTTGTCTGTCTAATTTCTGTAAGCCCATGGTTCGTTCCTGAGTTAAAAATGGTCCACATTTTCCTTTTTGATGAAATGCGTGGAATGGGTGTTCAAGCTTTCTAGGCTTGTAAATTCACAGTCAGGTTCTGGCACTTCTACGTTATTATTGTTTCATACACGAATTGAATGCTGTTATACGACCATTTATGTTTCTCCTTCTGTTCAGTGCTAGATTGACTGATTGAACAATCACCCTAGTTTCTTCGGTGATTGTATGGCTATTCCTTATTAGTTATATCATTTCCACTGATTTCTTGTCTCAATAAATTCATCTGTGCTCCAAATTACAATGACACATGACCGACTTGCTAAATCTTCAGTAAAACCCTCTTCTTATCTTTCCATTCTATTTTAAGTAGTTAGCATCAATTCATTATTGTGCTTCATATACAATTCTCACACATATGGTCAATCAACAAATTTCTTCTGGCCTGATTTGTTTTTCCCTCCTTCCCTTGTGATGTCATTTTATTTATTTATGGTCAATTTCTTTTTTAAACTTGCTGGGAATTATTCTTGCTTTCTTAAGTTACTATTTATATCTATCCATTGTTATTATCGAAGGACGACCATGTTTCCTTCATCATTTATTATTGTCCCGAACCATGTTCATTGTTTTCTTCCTCCTAATGCAAATATCAATCTGGACTTCTTGTCTTTGGTGTTGAGATTATTGCTTAGAGTCCCAACGTCTTTAAATATAGTTATGCCATTTCCTTCATCACTTAATGAAGGGCGACCATGTTTAAATCTATTTAAATCCATTCATTGTCATTATTGAAGGATGACCCTGTTTCCTTCATCACCTATTAAGATTATCATCCTGGATCATGTTCTTGATTTCTTCCTCCTAATACAATTATCAATCTGGATTTCTTGTCGTTGGTGTAGAGGTTATTGCTCAGAGTTCAAAGATCTTTAAATATAGTTATGTCATTTCCTTTTTGTTCTTAATTCCTTTTATTGTAATTTATTGTGTAATTAGGATTCCTCATGTATCACATCATTGTTTGATGAAAGCTCAGAAACTGTCAATACTGAAAACATCATTTTAGTTCTTGTGGTGTTACAATGTTCAACCAGATAGTATCTTATGTTGGTGGTTTCAGATTATTCCTAATTTTTCTCTCTTAAGTAAATTATTGACGGTCATTTTATCAGCGATCCTTCAGCTCTGCCACACTACACTATGTTGAAACAAAACTCCAAATTACGGCTCATAGCAGAAATGATGAAAGAAGAAATTAAAATTTATGTGGTTCAGCCATTAGGTCTAAGCTCACAGGAACGGATAGTCAATTTAAGTTCCACTGAGGCGGATGGAAGGACAAAAGAAGTGTCGGATCCACAAATATGAGCCCTTTAAGGCTACAAGCTATACTTCTCAAAATCCCCGAGGAAAACAAGATGCCCTAACTTTAATGTGTCAATATATATGCACAGGTAGAATTATATGGGTGCATTGTGAAAATTGGGCTGGGGTTTGTACCCTTGAATCCTTGGATGGACGTGGCCTACTTTGGACTGAGGTTGACATAGATCATCTTCGGCACTATGGTGCATCAACAAATGAGACCAAAATGTTATTTGGGGAACTAGACTTTGTTGTCTTCGTTGCTTTCCATAACTGAGGAACCAATCTACGTACTAACAAATTTATTGAGGGGTGGTGTTTGATTTGGTATAACTATCTTGCATCCTAACTAAGGAGAAAATAGTTGTGTGATTAACCAGCTCATATATACTATAAATTATGAAGTAGATCTCCAAAGTCCAAACTTCATAGAAATGGAAACTATAGTCTCCTGGTCCACTGATATCTCCTTGAGGGCCTTGAAACTTTTTTTAAAAAATTGGAAAACCTTACTACTAGAACTTGCAGTCTCTTCATGTGATCAGAAACACTTAATGGCTGTATTTTATGCCCTGCTTTTGGTGCTATTAGTTGCCATTTCTAATAACAAATGGTTATAGAGACCTTTCATTTTGATACCCACTGTGAAGCAAAATTGACATTGTTTCATAAGTATGGATTTGTCTTATGGTCACTTACTAATATTTTCATCGTGGCTTCAGATAAACAAGATGTCAAAAAACCATATGATCAAGATGTCATAATCACAGAAAAACAAGATGATATAAAGCCAGAGATACAAGATCTTCAAGATAGTGCACTGCAAGATTCATCTCAAGAGCCCAACCAATTTGAGGTGATCCTTGAAGTTGCTATTTTAGTTTCAAACCAGCCAATATTTTGGTACCATTCTTCTGTTATAATTTTACATGTTTTCACCTTATATGGGTCCCATTTGTATGCAGCAAGCAAATCTACAAAATGCACCAGCAAACTCTTCAATTTCTTTACAAAATGGGGTTGGAATAATTGCGTCAGGTGTTCTTGGTGCATTATATGCAACATCTCAGAAAGAAAAGACAGCTACCAAATCCACCTTGGAATCTGTATGTCTCTCAACCTGTTTACATAGGTTTTTTTAACATATTTGGTGATCATAAATCATGATTTGGTTGCATTCACTTTTGTGTCTTTCTTTATTCTTTCTTGACCTAAGGGATGTGTATATGCATGCCAGATGACATTTTCTAATGCAATTTTGCTTGTATCATCTGATCGCATATTGTCATACCTATTGAGCGATTATCAAATTCCTCAAGTTAATGCTTTCTTTAGTAACATTTTAATCTTTCCTCCTTATTCATGTTATGGTTTGTAGGAGTGCCTGTGACTTCTGAAAATCATGCAAACTTCAGTATCTTCAGTGTAGGTGCATCCTGTGTTTCACGAGTCTTCAAGACTTTTCTGAAGTAATAAAGTGCCTTTATTTTTATCACAAGTAGAAATGCTCAGTTCATATGATAAGGGTAGCCTGAAAACTAAAACTGATCTTTTTTTGATGATGTGGATGCAGTCAGTTATTTTGAAATATATTATATGTTATCAGAATCCAACAACTTTATTATTATACCGTTTATAGTTATACTTATGCATGACATATTGGGTGCAGGACAATGTAAGTAGTACATGATTAAAAATTGTTTCATTCTATGTATTCACTTGTAATATTATTCTCAATGCAGCTGGAAAGCAAGCTGAATGAAAAGGAAGCAGTGATGTTTATGATGAAGGAGAACTTTGAGAAAATGCTACAGAGGGAGCAGGAAGAAAAAAAGAAACAAGAGAAAAAGTTTGAGGAAGCCGAAACTTCTCTGCTAAATCAACTGGCTTCGACAAGTGAGACTAAAGCAGCTTTGCTTCAAGAGCTACAAAATGAGAGTAAACTAGTTGAAGAGCTTAGAGCACAAATAAGTCAACTCGAGAGCAGTATTACAAGAATCGCTGCAGAAAAAAATATGCTTGAGGCTGAATTTAAAGAAAAGGTGGACAATGTTGATGTGCTACAAGATAGAGTAGTCCTGCTTGGTTTGCAGATAAATGACACGGAGAAGAACATTGAAAGTCTCAAAGTATCCCTTTCTGAAAATGAATCAGAATGTAAGAAGTTGAGCTCCAATGTTGAACAGTTAAGGAACGAGCTTGCCCTTGCAAATTCAACTATTCAACAGTTGAAAGAGGAGTTACTTGGAACTAAAGCAGAATTAAATTCAAAGATATCTTTAATTGATTCTCTTAATGAAAAGATTCAGTCGTTAAGCTCAGAGAAAGACAACTGTGTGCAGAGAATTAAGGATCTCATGAAAGACTATGATCATTTGAAAACCTCTTCTGATAGAAGAGCTGCCCATGATGCCGAACTCTTATCCAAGAAAGAGGACCAAATTCGTGATAATGAAGAAAAGCTTGAGCTTGCAATAGCTGAAGGGAGGGACAATAATGCAATTATTGCTGAGCTGAGAAAAGAAAAGGATGATCTCAAAGCATTGCTGGAAAGAGAAGCAAGTACTGTGAAAATTTTGAAAGGTGAGCTGCAGTCTACCCAAGAAGCACTGGGAGCTTCTAAGTTTGAAGCTTCCAATCTGTCCAAAGATCTCGATGAGGCTAGAGGTTCATATGAGAAACTAATGACTGAGGTTTCAAAGATTCAGGATGATTTTAGTGAAACGAAGAATACATTAGCTGGTAGCCTTGAAGAGGCTAAGTCTAATGCAAAATTTCTTTCTGTTGAATTAATCTCAGTGAAGGCGGTCCTAAAGAAAACCAATGAAGAACTCGACATCACGTCCAAGGAATTGAAAAATGCTGTGGCTGATCATGAGAACTTGAAGAAGGAATTGGTGGAAACCTATAAAAGGCTGGAGGCTGCCATGCATGAAGTGAACGAAGAAAGGAAGGTAGTTTCTACTTTGAACAGAGAGCTTGATGTGTTGGGAAATCAAATTCTGACCGACTCAGAAGCACGAAGATCTCTTGAAGCAGATCTGGATGAGGCTACCAAATCACTTGACGAGATGAATGAGAGTGCATTATTGCTGTCAAAAGAACTAGAGAGCAGTAATTCTAGAAACGTTAGCCTCGAAGCAGAGAAAGAGATGCTGCTCAAATCTCTCACGGAGCAACAGAAAGTCACAAAAGAAGCTCAGGAAAATATCGAAGATGCTCAGAATCTTGTTATGAGGCTTGGAGGTGACAAGGAGAACTTAGAGAAGAGGGCTAAGAAGTTTGGAGAGGAATTAGCATCTGCAAAGGGCGAGATACTACGGTTGAGGAGGCAGATCAGTGTTGGGAAGGAATCTGTAGACGAGCTCGAGCTCGAGCTCCATCCAAAGGCCAATGAAGCTGCAGCAGGTGCTCCTTTTTCAGTAAGAAAGACTGCTAATAGGAGAAGAAAGAGAAGAAATACATGAGAAGTTTATCAAAAGAGGATGAAATGCAGAATGAGAATACGTTGCTATTGCATATTTTACCACCTATCTTTCAGTTTCAGTAGTCATACCTTTGCGGCCATGTGCATGAGCAGCGTCGTGCTTGAAGAGTCATGTACCATTTTCCCTGTATTTGCGCCAAGCGGATGCTAGTTCTGAGAACCACTTTAAAGCCACATTGTTTTGTGTAGATGAAGCTTGAACTACGAAAAGGTGGTGTTTTGAAATGTTATATCTGGCACCGGAGAAATGCATACGACCAGAAATCAAGGGCAGACTCCATGGTGGAGCCCGCTGGCATGCCATCCCCAGACCGGACGAGCTTAGCTTGAGCGTGGAGGAGGGCACTCCCACAGGAGAGTAAACGGAACGGGTTGAGACTTCAACGAAGCCGAAGCAGCCTCTCCTGACATACATACATACGTAGCAACTTCCAACTCTGGTCATGCGAGAACGGCGAGAATGTGAAGAAAGTGCGTCCCCTGCGTTCAGAGAGGCAATGCATTTCGTTCTTGTCTCATCCAGCGGACCTGTAGCTCGTAGCGCCGCTCGTTCCGGTGCAAGCCATTTAAGCCCGCCCTGCCTCCGTCGCCACCACCACCTCCGTGTATAGAACAACCCGAGTCCTCACAATCAGCAGCAGCATATGAGCCTCCTACATGACCTTTCCATCGATTCACTTAAGAGAATTACAGTCACTCGTCCTCTTCCGACATCACTCTAGAATATTTCCTTGGTTTTTGGCTATGGTAATGCTGTCTTGTTTCTTCATCTCCTGCTACGACTGCTGAGAATTACAGTCACCTTAGTTTTTTTTTTTTTTTTTTTAATTTGATGTCTTTTTTCTCTTCTTATATCCTATATGCCCATCACGATTGTTCATCATCTCTATTCTATATGTCCTTTTTTTTATCTTGTTGCGAGGGTCTTATTTCATTTCGTGTGGTTCACTCTATCATGTTGTGAGATTTCATTGTCTTTGTGTGATCAAATGTCAAAGAAAAAAAAAGAGATAGAAAAAAGACTGATGAATATTTAACAGTAAAAATAAGTACATCAAATAATAATAATAAAAAGAGACCTTTAAAGAAAGTCAGAGAAGAATACTACGGAAAACAGAAAACAAAAAATGAACGCCGCCGTCTGTGGGAATCGAACCCACGACCACGTGGTTAAAAGCCACGCGCTCTACCGGCTGAGCTAAGACGGCGTTGTTAGTGGTGGTACTTTGAACTTCTAGAAATGGTAAAACCATGGCCGAAGAACACAGCTAGCAAGGATACAGATCGTCGTGCTTGATTTCGACGGAGCAACAGTGAAGCCCCGTTCCGCTAGATCAAAGAAAGCCGTGCATCGGACGGACGAAATCAATCGATCATGTACAGAACGAAAGCCGCCTTCCGCTACAAGTAAAACCCCAATCCTGCAATAAACCCTCGCCTCCCTTTCCCTCCACGGATGTCGACTTTCTCCTCATCTTCGACCCTCTTCTCCCCCAAAGCCCCCCCTCTTGCTGTGAGATTCTTCGTGTTCTCTTCTCCATGCTCCCTTTATCGTTATAGAATTTCTTTTTTTCTTGGCTTTGCTTGAAAATTTCTCGTTGGTTCTCGTTGCAGAGAATTTCGGACCTCACAAGGGTTCATTTTTTGTCCAAAAATACGTCGTTTCGGAGGAATTTCGTCGTAAGGGCGGGCCCGAAAAGGATAAGTTTCGACAAGGATTGCAGAAGGGCGTTGGTCGCCGGGATCGATAAGCTCGCCGATGCTGTTTCTGTTACCTTGGGACCCAGAGGTATTGCTTCTGGTTCTTGCAGATTGTCCCCTGAATCCTCTCGAATGCGGTTTTCCGTTGTCATGTAGCAGCTTCTCGTGTGTTTTCTGGATTTTGGTCGGCCTTCTGGATATGTGTTGCACTGCCTTCGTGTTTTTCCTTGATTTCGTTCCTTGTGGATTTGGTCGATTGCTTGTTGTTTTGTACCTGCCCGTAGGAATGGTTTTTCCTAGACTTGGGGGGAATTTTTTTGGATAAAATTAATCTCCATGATTTTTATTCGCATTTTGAACTTTAATATTGGAACTCATATACATGGCATTATGTCAGATGTAGATCTTGATGGCTGTTTTTTCGATCAATATGCATAATGTATATTTTGTAGTAACTTCTGCTGCAATCTAATTGTGCAAAGCGATGCATATGTGGGTACAAATTTGGTAGTCACTTCACTTCGGTAAAAGTAGCAATCTATCAATTCTATTGGCAACTTATCATGCAGCATCCACTTGGTGTCTGATAGAGGACAGAACTGCGACAACCCTAGTTCTGTCATTTCTCTTTTATCATCAGAATACCTAGATAAGCTGACTTCCTGAGTCTTGCTTATGCATACTAAAACCTGTTGTTCCAAAATGGTCTCTTCTAGAAAGATATGATTACTATTGGCAAAGAATCAAATGGTTTGAGATCATACATGCAGGGCGTAATGTTGTTCTTGATGAGTCAGAAGTTCCAAAAGTAATAAATGATGGCGTCACAATTGCTCGGGCCATTGAACTTTCGGATGGAATTGAAAATGCTGGTGCCATGTTAATCCAAGAGGTCATATATTTGCTCAGGTCTAAGTACTTTCTATGGGCTTGAATTTTTTTGAGGTTGTTTTATCATCAACTGAACCATCTTAAACAGGTGGCATGCAAGACTAATGACTCTGCTGGTGATGGCACCACAACAGCAATTGTTTTGGCTCGAGAAATCATCAAGTTGGGCATGTTGGCCGTGGTGTCTGGGGCTAACCCAGTTTCTTTAAAGAAAGGTATTGATAAAACAGTTCATGAACTTATCCAAGTTTTGAGGAGTAAATGCATTGCTATAAATGGAAGGGAGGATATAAAAGGTAACTTTTTGTTTGTCTGAATTTCTTTAGGCAGGGGTCCCTAATATTAACTTCTTAAGTAGACTTCCCTGTATTCAGCTGTAGCTGCAATATCTGCTGGAAATGATGACTTCATCGGAGATATTATGGCCACTGCTATAGGAAAAATTGGTCCTGATGGAGTAATTTTAATCGAGTCATCAACATCTTTTGATACGACTATCGAAGTTCAGGAAGGAATGAAGGTAATTGAATAAACCTCATATTTTTTTTCTTGATTTACATGCCATTAAATTCTACTTAATCTTTGCAGATAGACAAGGGTTATATGTCACCGCACTTCATAACAAACCAGGATAAATCAATTGTTGAGTTTGAGAATGCTAAAGTTCTTGTAACTGATCAAAAGGTGACTAATGTGAGAGACATCGTGCCATTGTTGGAGAAAACCACTCAACTTAGTGTTCCGTTGCTAATTATTGCTGAAGACATCTCAAGTGAAGTGCTCGCAACATTGGTCCTTAACAAACTTCAAGGCATATTAAATGTTGCGGCCATCAAATGTCCTGGATTTGGGGAAGGCAAGAAGGCCCCCCTGCAAGATATTGCTCTCATGACAGGTTAGCATCTATATAGGTTCTCTATTTTATTGTTTGAACTAGGGTTTTGAATACCGGTCCGTATCAGCATACCGAGCTCTGCTCGGTACGGCATGTATTGGTATATACCGTCGGTATGCTAGTGCATATCGATGGTACACCCTAAAACCTTAAAAATACCTTCACCTACCACGTTAGGGTATACCAATCGGTATGCCTCAGTAACGGTCGAAATCCGGGGTGGTACCGGTCGGTACACCTCGGTATCGGTTAAAACATTGGTATGCCTCAGTAACGGTCGAAATCCGGGGTGGTACCGGTCGGTACACCTCGGTATCGGTTAAAACATTGGTACTGCCCGGTAGAGGATGGTCCGCGTATCGGTATCCTCTCGGACCGGGACATACCGCCCGTACCGAGTGGTACACATCGAAAATTGAGAACCCTGGTTTGAACAATGCATATTTTTTTGTTAATTTCAAATGCAGAGAAGTATAGATGGTCAAATATAGAAACAAAGAAGTTGGCATATTTTTTATTTGTGGAGTAATTTCTGACAACTTGGCAGCATGTGCAGTTTTTTATTTTTAGGACAAATATGGAACTTGTTTAGCTAGAATCATCATTGATGGACCAATTGTTTGCTATATTGGCTTTGGCAAATATTGAAGATGTTGATTGACATTCACTGTCCATTAGAAATTTTTTAACTATTAATTGAATTAGTTTGTTGCTTCTTGCCATTGTCTTATATATTGCCATTATTTTTGTTTGTTTTGTACACTGTAGTTATGTGATTGTCCAACTGGTATTGCATGATACCAGGCCTCATGAGATGTTCAAAGTTTAGATCTTACTTCTGCTTATATGTTTGCAAAAGACAGGTGCAGATTTTCTTGCTAGTGACCTAGGCTTGATGCTTCGAGATGTAACTTCAGACCAGCTAGGTATCGCACGGAAGGTGACTATAACAAGTAATTCAACAACGATTGTTGCTGATCCATCTATGAAAGCTGAGATACAGGCAAGAATATCACAGATAAAGAAAGATCTGACTGAAGTAGATAGCTCCTACCTACGAAAGAAGCTGTCTGAGAGGATAGCAAAACTTTCAAGTGGCTTTGCTGTCATCAAGGTATGCTGTTTCTTTTCAATTTAAGATTCCGAATGTGACATGGAGAACATATTTACGCCATATGTTGTCTTTCAAAATCAGCAATTTGCGACCATCTAAATATATCTGGTGAGCTAAAAGGAAAACTCTAGCCAGCTCTAGGTCTCGATTGATACCTTCTGGTATATGTCCATGCCAAACATGGCACCACGAACCTATTAAGAGACTTCAATTTTAGCTGTAGTGATGCTTGTTAGGCTGTTGCTGTATATTCTGAAGAAATGCAAATGATGTTCAGGTAGGGGGGTTAACTGAAGCTGAACTCGAGGACAGGAAACTTAGAATGGAGGATGCAAAGAATGCAACTTTTGCTGCCATGGATGAGGGTATAGCACCAGGAGGCGGGGCAACATACGTGCAATTATCAAAGCATATTTCCACCATATCGGATCTGTTTGAAGACCCAGAAGAGAAGATTGGTGCTGAGATTGTTGGAAAGGTCTGGTTCTTGTTTCTTAATTCTGCGGTATCTCCTGTTTTCATTTGCTAAAGGTATTTGGCTTGAGGAATAATTCAGTCACTATTTCATGAGTCTGCAGCATCTTCTGCTATGTCATCTTCCTATAAAGTGATAATTTAGACCTTCACTTCTGCTATACTTGCTGAATCATCTACTGCATAGACCAAAAAAATGTAAATATAGGTTGTTACCAAGGAAGAAGTTCACTTTGCAATTTTAAAGAAATAAATATGTAAATGTGACTGAAACTTTGACAGGTTTTTAGAAAGTTTTATGTCAAGCATCAAATGTCTAGTTTATATAAGAGTCTTTGGTTTTATCACATCACTGAGAGTGATTCATATTTGCTCTCTCAACTCATAACATTAAATGTTTATGCTTTAACAAAAATTATCATAGTATTCCTTGGAAAGGAATCATCCTTCTAACCGAAATGTATTCAATGAACTTTCAGGCACTTCTTGTACCGGCTTATTTGATAGCCCAAAATGCAGGGGTCGACGGTTCCATTGTGGTGGAAAAACTTCTTGATAGCGATTGGAGAAATGGTTACAATGCAATGACCAATGAGTTTGAGGATCTTCTTAAATCAGGTGTGGTGGATCCATGCAGAGTTTCGAGATGTGCTCTTCAGAACGCCGCCTCGGTAGCTGGAGTTGTGCTATTGTCCCAAGCTGCCATGGTTGACAAAAGAAGAAAGCCCAAGCCTGCTGTTCCTCTGGTTCCTGGAATTTCTCCGTAGCTACAGAGCGGTCTGAAACCGAGAGGCAGCTCCTGAACCGGTCGAAGGCTGCAGTTCCTTTCCGCCACGACGACAACTTGCTGCTTTTTAAGAGCACAACAATAGTGTCGAAAACATGCCTAGTCCAGTAGCAAGCCCTCCAATGTTCTTGCTGCGCGTCAAATGGCTCCAGCTTAGGCACGGTTGCTATCATTATTACTTTTTAGGCATAATTTAGATTGCTGATGAGGCCCGTGTTAACTGTTCTTGGTATGTATTTATGTATTACTATGCTGCTAAATTTCCTGCTGGAAAACCATTATCTTCTGTTAAAAGTCAGCAATCTTTATACGGAACCATTTTTTTAGGCGTAATTTAGATCGCTCAAGGTAACTGTTTACATTTACATTCTACACACGAGACTGCGCCTGAATGGACAAAGGGCTACCGTCTCATCTCAGCTCATCCACGAGTTCTGCGAGACCATAAACCCCATACGGATGCAGACTCATCCCACCCGAATGCACAGGTTTTCGCGGCAAAACAATGTTCTTTGTCCTTCGATCTCCCACCGATCATACGTTTCGCTTCACGACCAAATTGGAGACGATAATCTAATCAAGACTTCCGAAACAAAATTTGTCACCACTACGAACTGCAAGGAATCCGTGCAAAGCCTAGCAGACCGCCAACAATCGACATGAAATAGTAAAGAAACCAAGTCTCTTTCGAACCCCAGAAATTTCCACTGCTTGCTGCAGAATCAAAGTCTTACCACGAAGCCGAAGCTCGAAGGATCAAGAAGAAACGGAGAGACAGAGATCGGACTGGAGACCCAAGTCTTGCGGGACGCGAATCCGCGAAGAAAAAGGTTTCCGCCGCGTTGTACGCAACGTTACCAAATCCGCATCAACATCGGATTCGGATGTTCACAAATCTCAAAGCATGAAGGGCGGGATCCTACCGCAGAAAACTAGTATGCCGCCGCGTTTTCCCTAATTTATTCACATTGCGGACTGTCATTGCCTCTCCCTCCCTTTTAGTTTCTCTCGGATCTGCCGGTTCCAAAACCCTAATCTCCGAAAGCTCCGGCACCGATCGAAGAGGAGAGAGAGAGAGAGAGTCAAGGGCCACGGCGATGGGGAAGAAGAAGAAGCGCCCTTCGAAGGTGTGGTGCTACTACTGCGATCGGGAGTTCGACGATGAGAAGATCCTTGTCCAGCACCAGAAGGCCAAGCACTTCAAGTGTCATGTCTGCCACAAGAAGCTCTCCACCGCTGGCGGCATGGCCATCCACGTTCTCCAGGTCCACAAGGAGACCGTCACCAAGTACCCCCTCCTCCTCCAATCCCGCAACGTCTTCTAAAAACCCTAACCTTTTCTTAATCGATATCACTATGCTTGCATAGTCTTGTTTTCTGCATACGATGGCGAACTCGATTTATGCCCCCGATCTATGGCTAATGAATGGTATCTGGGTTATTGATCCTCTTTGATGTTGAATGATTTTGTAGTTGTTGTCATCGTTTTATTTTCTTGTGTTTTTGGGATCAAATCCTGATGAGAGAAATTCCATTTTCCTCTGTGCCTTTTAGTTGATAACTATAATCCTGATGAATCAGTGGTGTTTTTCGGAAATATAGGATTCACGTTATTTTGATAATATTTTTTCATGATCGTCGAACCCAAAAAAGAGATTGGATGAACCGTTTGTAATTAGGATTCAATCCATTGACCATCTCAGTTCCCTTAGATGCATGCCTGTTAAACTTTTCTGTCATTATGATTTTTTTTGTTTTGTTTATTAAACCTAGATTCAGAATAGATGAATTTTATGCTTTCTGCACGTGTATTGGTCTTGTTGACTGACCATACCTTATGATTGATCTTGAACAAAAATTGAGGATCATACCTTTAGTGTTTTAGGTTACTAGTTCGTTTCTAATGTGTGTTCTATACTATAGATCATGATAAGCGTGTTTCTTGGTTGTCTCACCAGTGGATCTCTATCATTTTATTGAGTCTTTTTCATTGTGTGAATTACATTTTCATCCTTGCATTCTTTTTGGTTGGTACTCTGAATTTCAATTGTCTTCATTCAGAGTTCCCAATGCTAAGCCTGACAGAGAATCAACGGAGATTGAGATTTACGGAATGCAAGGAATTCCTCCTGATATCTTAGCAGCACACTATGGAGAGGGTAATATTATTAAATGTTCAAATAAGTTTAGATATTTTCTTTTTTTTATATATTTTATATAGTGTTTTTAATTTGTTCTAACATGTAATATCTGTCAATGCCATTTGGGTGTTAAAAAAATTTGTGTTCATTATCCTCACTATGTGGGTTTTATGTTGATTTGCCATTTTCTTGACATTAAGGCTTTTAAATGCTGTATCTCTCATCTTGTATATACTAGAGACTCTCTTCATAGAACTTGCTATGATCAGTTGCATAGCGGATAACAACCAAAAAGAGGAGCTAAGAATTAGGAACCTGCAGGTCCCTTAGTTCAGAAATTTAGTTGTGCTCTTCTTTTCAGCTTGAAAATGGTGATCCCTTCTATTTCCTGAGGAATTATCTTGGCTGTTTGCTTCTGCTGAAATAAATTTGATGGGCTTTCTTTGCAAGCTGTCACGCTCTATACTGTTCAGGCTTGCAGATTATTTTTTCCCTGTATAATAAGCTGAATTTTAGACTTTTTTTTCTTGTTACAGGATAGTAAGAATCTATCACTTGGATTGCACTTGTTTGTGTGATCTATTGGTGATCTTCATTTTCCCTGTATAATAAGTCTCAGAGCTTACTGTTTTTGGCAAACATTGATTTATATCATTGCCCTACATAACTCCAGAATTGTATCAGAATTGTATAGATTTAAGTCTTTCTCTCTGAAACCATCTACAATTTAGATATGATAGAGTGTTGCTCGACCAATCAACCCTTGATTAGGCTATGCAAAAATGAGATTGCATAGTTTAGAGTCACCTGCTGGGATGTGCTTTGGCTAGGGTAACATTGGAATACATATTTTGTCATGTCCCCCAGCATGTGCTTGCAGGACATGATGTAACGGAAACTTGTGAGCCCTTGTCTGGAAATAATCCATTATCTGTAGATAATCCAAATGATGTGATTGTCGGATGACATAATTTTATCAATTGAAAGTAATGCTTTTGTTAAATAACTCTTACTTTCCTGTTACATGAGGTATTAAACTTTACAGAGGAAAAATCAAATGACTCAGTCTTGTTTAACTCAAGCATATCTAAGTATACCATTAATATATGTCCATAGGCACAGATGTGCGTGTCATTTTCCATCTTTGGGGTGCATGTTTTTTAGTGATGCACAATGTTGCCTCAATCATTCTTTATAAAATTTTGGTGCAGATGAAGAGGTGCCAGTAAAGACAGCCAAACTGGAAGTTGCATCCACTGGGCTCGTTGGTGGAGTGGTTCCTGGTCCAGTGGGCGTCAGATTTCCTCCCTCATCAGCATATGGTGCAGTTCCACCAGCGTACGTCACTGTTGCTTTGTTGGTTATATGGAGAAGAGTTATCATCTTGGGATTTTTGTGCTTCTTAATAATGCCACTTCTAATTTATTCATATAGCGCATTCTCTCTCATGATATATTTCTTTTTAATCAGATACAATCCTGCAATTCCGGTGATGCCTCCAACATGGCCTATTCCAGCTGCTCGACCGCAGCCTTGGTTTCGATCGCCAATGGCTGTTCCAGTTCCTCCTGCACCTGTTTTGGCACCACAACAGCCATTATTTCCTGTCCAGAATGTTACAAGTCCCATGACCTCCACTTCTGCCCCTGGACTTCAATCACCACTTCAAACTGGTCCACCTGGCCTGCCCTCATCTGCACCACCTGTAATATCCCAACCACTATTTCCGATCAGCAGTCCAGCTGGTGCACCTCCTCAGAGTTCTCCATTTTTGGCAACATCTTCACCTGCAATCGTTTCGTCAAGTTCCCCAACAATGTTCAAAGGTGTAGCTGATGCAAATTCTGTTTTAAATACTACCCTAGCAAGTGGTTATGTGGCTCCAAATGTTCCAGGTGCATTTTTTCACGTTGTAGTTTTGAGTTTGATAATGCCTGATTACTTTTCTAGAATCTTTTACAACATATGGTACTTATATAAAGATGTGCCACATGTGAAGATATTGCCCTAAAATGCAGATAGACCTAATTAGTTATATGTTTCTTCTAAATATTCCTCATTGGAAGCAGTAAGAGGAGTTTCTTAATGATGAATGATATGTATGACACCTAGATTGTTTTTTACCTACTTATCCATTATGTTTTCTCAACGTGTCTTTAAATAAAATAGCAATAGTTTTCTAAAGAATAAAACTTCATTTGCATTTGAATTAGCTTCTGAAGCTAGCAAATTATCCTTATTATGAAGGAGATGATAATTGAAGTTTGTATGTCAAACCATTTAAAAAATTTTTGCTTTTTTTTTAGCAAATGGAAGAATATTCTTGAGGTGAAGTAGGACATTTTGCTGATAAAATTTAGCCAAAAATTTCATAAAAGGAGTAAAAATATAAAACACCAGAAATATCTCCCAAATGTTAGATGATTCGTCATCCATATTAGATTGAGACCCTTAGGAATTGTGAAGGTATCCTTGTCATGAGGGCACATTTCATCTGACCTAGTCCTCACGAAGTCTTGAATGATGGAACTTCCAAATCTTCATTTAGATTTAAGGTTATGCATCCACTTATATTGAGTTTGCTCCAAAAGGATATATATTGTTGATATGGGAAACAACCTGCACATTTTGAAACCAGTACTTGGTGGTTCTGTAAAGACATGAGCGTTTGGAATTGGCAAAGCTTGTAGTGATAAAATGTAACATCTCTAATCACTGAAGTCGGAGCAAATTATGTGGAGCTTAGATATATTGCTCTTTTTGCTCATTGTCCGAGTTACTACTTCAAAAGTATAGTTCCTTTGTTAGACTAATTGATTCTCATCTTTTAATACCGAAGTCCTGGATTTCCTTTTAGCCTGGATTCCTTGATATTGTTTCTTTTGCTCATCAGATTATGAAATGAATGGTTGCGTTTTTATCATCTTTGTGAGAAGAATGAATAGTTAAAGGGAAGTGATTTTTCTGGAGTAGTTGTCATACCCTTTCCACCGATTGAACTATTTTGCATTGATGTTGTACCTTGAACCTATGCCAGCAAGATCTAATGACACTGCTAAAACTTTTGCAGTTCTGTATATTGTATATATGAACCTTACCTAGAAGGGAAAAGCCTAGGTTGATATATTGAATATATATACTCCAAAATTATTTGGAATTATGTCAGGCTACATCATCTCTTAGACTAAGTAAATGCTCTGTCCTATCTTTTTCAGGTGGTACATCATATGCAAACTCACATATGTATGCATCTGGTCCAAACACTGAGAATCCTTCAATTGGACCTCCGCCTGTAATATCCAACAAGCCACCTCCTTCCCATCCTACCACAAATGAGGTCTACTTGTTATGGGATGATGAAGCAATGTCAATGGTGTGTTTTCTAATCCTAGCATTTGTAGTTTTTTTTTTTGGGTTGGACCTTTTTCTTCACGTTTTGTTACTGAAGACCTCTCTCTTTTATTGTCCATGGCTCCATATCATGCAGGAGGAAAGAAGAATTTCTCTAGCAACATATCAGGTGCATGATGAAACTAGCCAGGTAAGTTGTTACCACCTTTTATTTACTCATTCAAATGGATATGCAACTTGGTTGCAAATCCGGATAGGTAGGGGAAAAGGAAAAATCAATTCAGATCTCTTGTGCTATATTTTAATGTAGTTAATATTTGATTACTCCTTCTGAATGTTTATAATATAGTATATTGTGGAATAAGTGCATTTGTGGCTCTTCTGAGTTTTACCACTAGGCCTTCTATCCAATTAATTTGAAGTTATGACGCTCTGGTTGTTGGGAAAATGGATATTCTTCTTAATCATTTTTGAGGGGGTGTGTTGGGGGGTAGGGGAGGATATCCAAGTTATGACACTTGGATATTCTTCCAAATAGGTATTTACATTGTTTTTGCTGCTAGTTAGTGCTACAAATCTGATGAGTTTGTGCTGCAAATGACTCGATGGTTCTCTCAACCTAGCATCAGGCCCATGCAAAAATGTATGTATTGTGTTCTGATTAAGTTTTGAGTTTATTTTTACATGGTATTTATTCTCCCTATTGCTTCTTAATGAGTGTTGGGCTTTGAGTGGAACCTGAATATATGCCAGCAGGCTTTTACCAATCAATAGGTAGCATTTCTTGTTATCTGTTTTTGATCACAGTGTGGGACCAGAGTTGATACAGGTCAGCTTTCATTCAGAAGCAAGTTTGCTACCGCTTGTGCAGTTGGATAAATTATGCATGAAAGAGTAGCAATTATCTTCTGGATGAGCAGTATTAGTTGATCTGATTTATTTTGTTCTTGTGGTGTGTTAAAAACAGATGAACTCCATTGATGCAGCCATAGACAGAAGGATATCCGAGAGCCGGCTTGCTGGCCGTATGCCATTCTAGTATCCGGCAGGCATGCTGGAAGTTAAGTCAGAAGGACTCGATGATCATCAAGGAGCAATTTATTTTGGAATTATGCAGTGGTAAATCGATAGTGACAATACTTGAGAAGCCTGGTTGAGTTTGTTATTGCAGCAGTGGGTGGGTCGTGCAATCGGAGATGGTAGACCATTTTATGGGGTGAACTTGACAAATTGGCTGTCAAGTTGCTAAACAGTCACGTTGGGTTCCAAGTAGGGTGATCCAATCTTAATGTAATTTATTTTACAATGATTATAATCTGATTGTCTTGTCATAAAAAACCGTGGATTAGACAATTCGAATGGTGTATTGGGAGGAAATCGAATGGGTAGAGATCCATTGCTAATCTGGTGGTGGTGGTTTGTGATAACACTTTAACCCTCTGTATGCAAATGCACAAGTGATAAAAGAGTAACGTTGGACCTTTTCATGTTATAAATCTTGAAAACTTTGTCAAGCATTTTGTGCACTTTACTCGTGTTGTAAGTTCTTGAATCATTAGTTAGAGTGGTAAAGCACTTTCTTTGAATTGTTGATTTCTAGATATTCTTGTTGTTTAATTTTTAATATCATTCCTCCTTTATGCATATTGCTGCTCTCTCACAAAGGCCAAACCACACGAAGTTATAGGAGTGATGACAGCGAAATGCCCAAATCGTATGCGTCATCTTCCGTTACTATATGCGTCATCTTCGTCTTCTTCTTCTGTTTCGCTTTGTTCTACTACGAAATGCCCAAATTGTTATTTGTTGTGCACATAAATTTGCATGGTTAACGAAAGGTGGGGTCTCTCCTGATGAGCAACTCCTCAAATGGCGTGACGGGAGGCATTCGCGGTGGAGGCGATGGGGGAAAGGACAACAGAGATGAAGCGCAAAGGACCTTGCAGTGGAACCTTAGTAGCATCTCGATAGCGGCAGACAAAGAACACGACGAGAACGACGGACGAGGGCGGCGCGGTGTGAGTCAGATCCCACGATACAGAATCATTACAATAGCATATTTGTATCACATTAAAATCACCAATATGGTCAATTGCTCCCGTTATGACGAATATTTATGTTGACGAATAACCATTGTCAACTAGCAAACATGGTCAGGTGCAGGTGTAGAAGAGCAAGTAATTGGACATTGACAATGATAACTCAATCAATCAATCAATAGTAGATACAAACAAATGGAAGATGAAGAGGTGTTTTCTAAAGCACTGGAACAAGACAAGCTTATCGGATTCCAGGTCCAACTAACCACATCAATTGAAATGGATATATTCATCATCTTTCTCTCTCTCCAGAACCAGGACAATTAAAACATATAATTCATGAAAACGATAGATAGTTTATGCACGTAAACAAAAAACAAGAAACTAAATAACATTTATAATGTCAGTAATTTAAGCAGAAAGGCTGACATATATATATTTACCCGAGGGAATTTCACATCAATACTTTAGTCAGTTAATTAAGTGGAAACCCTAAACCCTAATATTTACCCGAGGTAGTTTCACATCAATTTTGTTTACGAGCAACATTTCCCATCATTCAACCCTCATCTGTTGCTTCTAATGAGAGGAGGGTCATATAAAAGCAAAATCTCCTGGAAGAATAAATAGCATTGACCAGTATCCTAGTGTCGTCCTATAATAGATACACATCCACAAACATCTTATGAGGAGATATCTCGATAATAAAAGGGAATTACTATGTGAGTATTAACGGAGACAAGAACACCTCATCCTCCTCACGTGGGTGGACCAATTCTTGACTAAGATAGCCATTATAGCGACCAAGAAAGAAGCTTCCGTCTTCCCGGGATGCCATTATAGAGACAGATAGATAGATAGATAGATGCTTGGGAATCGAATGAATCAAAACCAATTGAACCGAGACATTTTTAGGTCTTGGCGGGCGGAAACTAGTAAGAAGATGAAGTTGGCGAACGATGCAAATACAAGGAGAGCAACAACGAAGAAAACCAACACCACATCGGTGAAGAAAAATTAGTAAGATTCATACTATAAAAGTGAAAACTCTGATGAATTATAATATCCGTTCAATATTATAATCAGTTTACTACAGTTCTTTGTCCTCGAAACCCAAGTCCAAGAAAGAACGGTAGCACCAATTTGTTTTCCTAAAACGGGAAGCATTCCAGCATCAAGAACAACAGTGATCGGGAACGAGAAGGGGATAACCATACAAAAAGAAATGATATACAGGAAAGAAAAAAGCAACACGACCGACGAAGAAAGGCAAGAGTCCCTTTATAAGAGCAAGAACTCGAGGAAACAAAGCAAGTACCCTATCACAACAATCCTTACCCTCCCCTCATGTCTCCCCACATTCAATCCTTACCTTCCAGATGAACAACATAGGAAGAAAGGAAACAGGATCTGAAGCCTATGTCTCCCCACATTCTTCTTGCAGAGGAACAAAAGAGTAAGAAAAGAAGCCGATCAAAAGAACACAACAAGATCTCAAGGTCAAGAAAGCGCACGAGCATATCAGAGATCAAGAAAGATTCGGAACGTTAAACAGGATGAGATCGTCTCTGTCGACGAGAAAAAAGAAAGAGGGATCGAAGGTCACCTCAGGGAGAAGGCGAAAAGAAGAAGAGGACGCCGAAAGGAAGGTGCTTCTCCTCCAGGGACGACTCCGCTTTCTTGACGTTCTCCGTCGCCTCCACCACCGTGGCCTTCTCCTCTTCAGTCTTCCCCTCTCCGTCGGAGAGCCGAGAAAGAGCGGGGAAATCACGCAAGGGACCGGTGCGCAGCGGATGGGGAGAGAGCAGTTGGTTATAATGGGCTTTCCTAACGCACGCTGTGGGTTCGATCTCATGCATCTCAACCGTCAAATATGCATCCTGATTCGTTGAATTAAAGAATCTGACGGTTAATGATGTGACCACCGTTTTGCTTAGGATACGACCCGAGCGCATCCTACCAATTTCTAGCTTTTCTGCAGGATGGCAATCGAAACAGATCGTGTGAAGGTGGTGATGTGATGGACGGCAGCGATGGATTGTTGGGACGAGGGGACGTGATGCGACGTCTGCCTCACGACGAACTCGTAGGCGCCGCATTCCACGATAGGTGGCTGTGCATGCATTTAAATATTTTCTTTATTATTAACATATATGAGTGATCATTAGATATAAGAATAAGAGATGAGAAGTAGAAGAAGAAGAAGAAGCAGGTTAGAGATGTACTGCTGGTAATCGTTTGCAGCGGGGTAAGGATGAGAAACCTAATAATCATTTATTGCCATAAACTCATCAATTTCAGTTTAACTTATAAAAAACAATCAAACGCCTCCACTTATTCCCCAAGAATTCGATTATTTATGGCTGACCTTTAGTGGTTCATGAATGACTGAATTCACAGCGCCAAGCATCTCGTTTGGCGAAGTAAATCCATCGGTCTTCATGTAGAAGACATGCAGGATCCTGCACATCTTCCAAAAGAGATCCTTGCAAGGCCTTGGGACGACACTTCCATCTCGTTGCAGCACCAGCCTCAAGAGCTCAGTCCTACTCCCGTCGATGGCCCTTTGCATCTCTTTCTTCACCTCTTCTTCCGAAGCCGAACCATGACTGTGAAGAATACGTAGTGACACGCTGTTCAACTTTCCTTCCTTGCCTTCTCTCTGCCCATGTAACGATGATAGTTTAGAATAAGTTAAACGACAGCAACAGAGTAAACTCACAAGAAAACAATGATTAAGAGACCAGATGTCACTAGAAATGTCAACAGGATGTATCTTTCGAATCATCATACAACTTACAATGGTCATCCTGTTCCTCAGCATGTCGGATAAAATCACAAATACGGGGGTTTCACAACTACAGGCATTTAGTTGCAATCAAGCAAGTAAATATTACAGGATTTCGAGAATGAAAACAGGAAACCCCTCAAAGGAAGAAAGATCTTATTGTATACAATTGATAAAACAAATGAAGCAGCAGGCCACATGATTAAATCAGAAAAAAATGAGGTGTTTTTCACAGCATAAAGGAAGGTCTTAATATATAACAATTTCAAGGCATATTTAACAGTCCAGAATGAAGGCAAAAAAAGGAACAAAAGTTGGCAGGATGAAAGTATTCTTACGGGTGAGAAAGAACTACTGCTTAAAATCCAAACTGAAGATTCTGGAACCATGTTTCTAAGTGTAAAATATCATTCAAACCATGATTCTAACATGACCAAGTGAAAGATGTAGATTATTTTTCTGAGGATAAATGTATAACATGATTGATCACAAACCCTAACATACAGATGACAATAGGCATCTATAATTTTTCCAAAACTATCCATGAACACTCTAAACAAAGGTATGCAATTTCGTATCGTATTGGAATTTCGACATTCGCTTGGTACGGTACGATACTGTATACCGAGCGACATACGGTTCGATATACCACTCGGTATATATATATATATATATATATATATATATATAAGATTATATATAAATATTCTTATAAAAGGTGACGTCACATCACCTGGGCGTTGTCGCCGAGAAAGGTGACGCGACATCACCTTTTATAAAATATTATATATATATATATATATATATATATATATATATATATATATATAT